CGACAGCCTGGTTCAACAAGGACTGATCGTTATTGCCCAAGTCCCTGAAGTATCCCACCAAGAAGCTGAATCTTTCCGGTTCACCATCGAATCCCTCAATTCCAATTTTCTCCAGCTTGACCTTACGCTTCTGCTTCTTCCTTGTTCCACTGTTGAAACTTTTGAGCGGCTCAGCGACCACTTTCATCCCGAAGTTCCTTTCTGGGTTCTCCATCCACAGGCGAAAGCACTCCGTGACGTTTATCGAGAACCACCCGTCGAAATTCGCACGCACTACTACGGAATTCACTGGAACAAACTTGCGTTTCTTGTTGACAAAAGTTATTCGGAAAACTGTGACAACAAAAGCGCGACGGTTGCTGTTCTTAGTAACTCTGGAAGAGTCACGGAACAGGCGAAGTTCTGCAGAAATCAGTTGGTGGTTTTTGTTGATCTTGGAAACGTCGAACCACATTCTTCTGAGGAGTTCAGGTTTTTCTCCTCGTCTGTTCGCCTGTTGAGCAACGAAACTTACGATTACATCGCTCTGGTTTATCCTAGCAAAGTCGTAGCTCGTTAAATCGACGGCAGTGTTGTTATATACGAACCCTGGAACTTGATTCACGGTATTTTTGTAAATGTCCATAAGGTAAATCGGAGCGGATCGCTTTTCAATTCGATATTTTTTCGAATCTCGTGGAACTGATTCAAGCCCAATTAGATTCATCAAGTGTTGCTCCAGCAGAGGATGATTTGTAGGGTTGGTTAACTTGGCAGACTCGTTATAGTTTATAAATACAATGGTCAAAATTTTTAACACTACTGTTAATTTTGCCATTGTATTTTTTTATTGACAATTCTGAGTGAAATAAAATTTAGAGCACGATTGTCACCGAGAGGTAGCTGGTGACTGAATGTCTGGATGTTGAAGGTAAATGATAGGTTTGAACGAGAAAAAATATTTATCCCTTCTGAGTGGAGGATTCCGACCAGCAGAAGGAGAATTCTGGGACTGGGCGACTGACTGTCTGGAAGTAAAACTAATTTTCTAAAATGATAACTAAGTTTTTACCCAATTTGCCCTGCGGGATTCGTGGAAAAGCCTAGGTAGCCTTAGTCGAGCTGTTACGTTCATCAGGTAAAACACTCGCCCACTAATATACGCTCTGGTATTAGTATGGTAGATGGGATGCTTTGGTATTCTTTGTTCTTGAGGGATGGCATAGCATAAGGCTTACGTGGCTGACAATCTGTAGCTAAAGATAAGCCATTTATTTAGTGTTTTTTTTTTTTTTTTTTTAGGGAAGGACGACATCAGGTGCTGTTTAATTGTGCCTTAATTTTAGAGGCGCTATGTTTGTTCAGGGTAATTGCGATGGGTCAGTTCGTGACGTCATTTTTCAAGTTTCAATCGGTTTAAATTTACCGACAAAAAAAATTATAAATATGTGTATTATATATTTATGATTAACTTTTCGAATTGTTAATTACAAAAATAACTTTTTTTTTTGTTAAAAAACTTATTAATAAAGATATCAATTTTTCGATAAAAATCAGTAAATTGATAAAAACAATTATAAATAGAATAATCAATAACAAAAATTTGATTTTCGATTTTTTGTTTTAAAAATCAAATTGAAACAAAGAATTAAAGTAACAGATTTATGTTTTTTCTACAGTATCGGCAACAACGGATTAAGTAGAGCCCAGAAATCTTCAACAAAGTCAAATTATTTGTGCTAGTAAAAGCTACTGAGAAAGAATAGAGTGTTAAATATTCCTGAAAATAAATGGGTTTGAAAATGATCCCTGATATCCTGAAAATGATAGATATTATTTTAAAATAAAGTAAAACAATTATATCTGACTTTTGATTATTATTTTTATGTAATAATTGATCTTCATAGTCGGAAGTTCATATTCTTAATCATTGTATACAGCCAATATTTTTAATATCTGCTTAGAAATGAGGCTCCATCATTTTTCGGCCGTAAAAAATCGAAAAATAGAGTTATTGACATCTTTTTTTCACTTTTTTCTATAACATGGCAGGTTTACGAATCATTCATTAAAAAATTTATAAAATTCTAAATTTATATTTTTTGTACAGCTTGAAACGTCCTGAAGAAAAGTCCTGTTGTTTTCTTGTTTTTAATTGAAATTTTGGAGAAATCAATTTGTAGAATACAATAATATTTTTTTCTTTGAATAAATTAAGAAAAAAAAAATTTGTGACATGACAATTGAAAAATTTTTTATGAATTTTTGACATATTTATAAATTTTTTCCTTCAATTAATAATTTAGCGGTTATGCAATAATTTATTCATATTTTATTGCATTAAAAATAGGACAATGAAGAAAAAAAAATCAGCCGATATGTCAATTTTTCGAATTTTCACAATTTCGAGTGCGGTTGGGTTTGATTTTACCATCACAACAAAATTGTGGAAATCAAAAAATTTTAGCATTAACTAGTTTTATTTTTTTTTTAACTATTCTATTTTTGATGAAAAATTGGACGTATAGTTTTAAAATATTAAAAAATTATTACATGACCTCTCGTATATGCTGATCGAACAACAAATTTTATAAATTGTTTAAAAATTTTTAAATCATGATATGAGATTTTATTTCCAATTTATGATCCAGTTTTTCATGCTCTTTACGGAAAAAAATTGTACCTACGGTACTTTAAAGATTGATCTTTCGAAAATTTCAATGAAAAATAAAAAAATTACAATTTTAAAATTGAAAAAAGTTTGTTTTATAACTAATTTTGTATTGCAGATTCATAAATCTGCCGGGAAAACGAACAAGATCATTAAAAAAAAAAATATAACTATAGATAAGTTCATTTTCCAATATTCTATAGCCAAAAATAGGTGAAGCCCTAACATCTAACCAATTACTATAGATTTTTACTATAGATCATGTAAATATCGTAAAGTGCAAATAGCATTCAATAAATAAATGTTCTCACCCTTATGGTTGATAATTGCTTTCTCATGACTGGGATACGCAGGTAGAATACCATTGCATTATCTAGAAACTTTTAATTTCATTCATATCAAAGAAAATGGGTACCTGTGCATAGAATTCTGAATATTGTAAAAGTTATTACTATTACCTTTATTATCTTGTACTCAAATCACAGCCCTGAAAGACTGTAAATTGCGCCCTTATTGCAATCCAGTCATTCTGGCTCAAGCCTTCTTACCGTGCGCATAAATTTTCAAAAAATTTCTTTCAAAATTCAGTGATTAACGTGACAAATTCAAAATTAAAAATCGTGATGGATAAATTATTAGTTTTAATGTATTTAACTATATTTTTGAAAGTGTTGGCACAAAAGGCTAACAAATCTCCAGAAGAGTTATGGTTAAAAGACCAAAACTTTAGCAGAAGATTGAACGAATCAGCAATCCAGTTTACAATTAAATGGCTCTACAGACAACAGAACAGATTAATTCCTGAATATTTTAATCAATCGGAAAATATTGTCGGAGATTTATACCCACGGTTTCACGAAACCAAGCAGTTGGCTCTCGACACGCAGAAAGCCGACGACCTAAATCGCATGCGGTTTCCAGTATTAGGAAGTGAAAACAATTTAGTTCACAGTGAAGTTAGGTTTTACCGCGATTGCTCTAGAACCGACAAATTCTACCGTCGTTCCGTTAACATTACTGTGTACAGAGTTCTCGCAAATGAATTTCATGATCAGTTGGTGTATGTTAACTCGACACTTCTTCCGGCTTTTGAAAGTGGATGGTTTGCCGTTGACATCACCGATTGCTACAAGTATTGGATGGCTTTCCCAGAAGATAATCAAGGTATACAGATAGTGACGGAATTTGCGACAAATCGACGCAGTAGAGTTCGGCCAGAGCTCACCGGAATCGTGGATTTTCATGCAGAACCTCAGAAACACGCTTTCTTGGTCAGTTTTTTTGGTTAGAAAACCTGATTTGAAAATAAATAAATTATGTAAAAATTAAAACTAGATGTATAGAATATTAATATTTACAATAATAATTGTAATTAAAATTTGTATAACAATAAAAAATTTCTTAAATTCAAAAACATTATTTTAATTTCATTAGAATAACAAATTATTTAATTTATAAATTTCTAGTACTGAAATTGAAATATTTTTTTTTAACATTAAAGACTTTTTAAATTCAAAAATTTTTATAAGATTCAATTTTTTTGAAATCTGTGGAACTCTACTTTTATATAATTACCAAAAAATGTTCTAAAAAATTTGTGCTAAATGATGACACTGAAGTTAGCAGAACTCTAAAAATTTTTGATTTTTTTTTTTTAATTAAATTACAACTAAAAAGATATTTATAAAAAATTCCACTTATAGTTTTTCAAGTTTTTAACATATGATATTTTTTTTTAATTATTTAATTGAAATTTTTTCGATAAAAAATTTTGAAATGTCAGCTAACTTCATTTTCATGCTAAATGTTATTTAAAATTTCTACATGAAGTTTTTTTTTCAAATATTTTTTATAATAATATACTTGTTTATAATTTTATAAAATTATCAGACATTTGTTTCAATTTTATAATACTAAAGTTAGCCGACGTTTTTAATTTTTCGATTTTTTTTTTTTAATAATTAAATTAGAACAAAAAAATATTTTTTAAAAATTGCACTTACAATTTTTCAAGTTTTTTACAAATATTGAAATTTTTTATATTTTTTTTAATAAAAAAAAATTCTAAATATTTTTGCATGTCAACTAATTTAATTTTCATTCAATTTTATATAGATTTATTATAAAACCAGCTTTAATATCAATGTTATATAAATTTATTTATTGAAGATAACTTCACTAAAAAAAATTACATTGATAACAAAGTAAAAAAAAAAATCTTGCACTTTATAAATAAATTGCATTATCTTAATATAACACTGATAATAAATGTTTTTAAAAATTAAACTATGATAAACGATATTATCCAACATAATTACCAGAATAGTTAGCTTTGAAGTTTTGACTGAACATGTCACGGGTAATAATAGTCGGCGCAGGTCCTTCTGGAATTGCCGCGGCTTCGCGACTTATTCAAAATGGATTTGACGTGACGATTTTTGAAGCTGAAAACCGGATCGGTGGGAGAATTTGTTCCTTTCAAATGGGTAAGTAAAAAAATATTAATTAATAATGTAAAAGTTAAGTTAATTATTGTTAATTGTGAATAAAAAATAAAAAACATACCTGCAGGTGAATATACAGCGGATCTTGGAGCAGAATGGGTCCACGGAGAAAAAGACAACGTGGCGTTTGAACTAGCATGGCCTCTGGGACTTCTAGAACGAGCTTACGAGAACAAAGAGTTCAATTCATCAGGAATATTTGTTGGTTCTGATGGAGAAATCATTTCCGAACAGGTTGCAGCCCCACTGTTGAAGCTCTTGGAGAATATCAGCGATACTGTTGGAGATGTCGTTGGGACTCTCAAGACTGGATCCGTAGGAGAATACGCAGAAATCAAGTAAGCTTGTGGTAAAAGTTTTATTAAGTAGTTTGATATTCTTAAAATATAAAATAATTGAAATTTGTTTCCAGAATCAACGAATATTTTAAAAGTCACCCGGAAATTAGCGCTGATAAACACAAACCTTTAATGGAGTCTCTCAATTCAGCGCAGATGACAATGGATGGCGCTAAAAACTGGCATGAAGTATCTGCTAAAGGCTTCAAAGATTATGCAGACTGTGAAGGAGACCAATTGATCAATTGGAAACACCGAACTTACTCTACAATTCTGGATATTTTAATGGTTTGTAACGGTTCCACCACGAAATCTCCCCAAGGCGAAATCTTCCCGACAAAATATCCCCGGACGAATTCTCACTGTCAAAATATGAAAATTAATTTAGCAGATATTTGATAATTTTAACAATTTTTTTAACAAATAAATTATGGCACAAAAATTTATAAAAAAAAAAATTGATATGTAGGAATTTTAAAAAATTAAAAATGCAATTTTTCAAAAATTATTTTTTGGAACAAATTTATTTGTTAAAAAAAACTAAAAAATAATCGAGTGACTGCTAACTTTAATGTCATCGTCAAAATCTCCCTTAACTAATTTTAACAATTTATTATAACTGACATAATTTCAAAATTATACACGTGACGCTTCGTGATGAAAACTGGAAAAATTACAGTTTTAGATTGTAATTATTACAGATTTTATAAGAATTACATCGTAGAATGTACTTAATATTTACATTGAAAGCTCTGAATATTAAATTAAAAAATTGAATTTAGAAAAATGTTATTTCAAACTGTAATTTTTCTAGTTTTGATTACGACCCCATGTAGAAAAATATTATATTCTAATATAATCTGAATATAATAATTTACGCATATAATGGAATATAATCAGATTATATTTCAATATAATGTATTACAATGTAATCTAGATAGCTGAAAATTCTGGAGTTTAGATGATTTTGCTGTAAATAATTGAAATTTTGTTAAGAATGATTACACCGGCACACAAAAAAAAAAGTTGTCAGTACTTTTGACCGGACTTACCTATCTTGATGTATTTTGACGCGCTGAATCCGAATCTGAAGTCAGTTTTGCCCGTACACCGTCAAAATTTTGAGTAAAATCTAAGAAATCCAAAAAATTTCGAAAAACTGCAGTCACAGCGATGAATAAAATTTTGTGGACCCAGATCAAGTATGATTTTTATGTATTTCAATTCACTGAATCTGAATCTGAGCGTTCATTAGCCCGTTAAGCCGTCAAAATTTGAAAAAATAGCAAAAAACCCAAAAAATTACAATAAATCATGAAAAATCGAAATTATCGAGATGAAAGAATTTTTTGAATTCAGATTAAGTATGTTTTTTATGTACTTTGTTTTATTGAATTTGAATCTGAAATCTTGTCCCTTCCTGAAAATGCTCGTAGAATTGAAAAATTGACAAAATTTTTTAATCTGAAAAATAGCATGTAAGGAGAAGGTACGAAGCCATATTTTCGATTTTCAGACTGTCGTTCGTTTGTATCGAATTTTTTTTTTCTTCAAATGACCTACGCAGTGGGCTCCTTTTACGTTTTTTGTTTTCTTTTGGTGTTTTTTTTGTTACCATCTAGCAAAAATCTGACATCATGTTGACATTCTAATTTACTCGATACAAGAAACAAAAAAAAAATTTATTCATCGCTGTGACTGCAGTTGTTCAAAATTTTTTGGATTTTTTAGATTTTACTCAAAATTTTGACGGTGTACGGGCAAAACTGACTTCAGATTCGGATTCAGCGCGTAAAAATACATCAAGATAGGTAGGTCCGGTCAAAAGTACTGACAACTTTTTTTTTTGTGTGCCGGTGTAATCATTCCTAACAAAATTTAAATTATTTACAGCAAAATCATCTAAACTCCAGAATTTTCAGCTATCTAGATTACATTGTAATACATTATATTGAAATATAATCTCATTATATTACAATATAATCTGATTATATTCCATTATATGCGCAAATTATTATATTCGAATATAATATTTTTCTACATGGGACGGGACCGATTTTACATTTTATACTGTAATTTTTCGAGTTTTCTTTTTTCCGTGTGTTTACTCGAAAATAGGCCAACACATACGCACTGATAGAAGGAATTATTTATATTTAATAAGCTTTATTAACTGTTAATAAATGATTTTTTAACATCATCGGATTTAATAAGTATTTATTTACAGTTAATAAATTATTTATTAAATGTTAATAAATATTTGTTAACAGTTAACAAATATTTATTAACAGTTAATAAGTAATTTATTAAGTACAATTTATTAACTGCTAATGAATATTTATTAATGGTTAATGAATATTTGTTACCTGTTAACAAATATTTATTTAAAATAAAAAGAAAAAATAGCAATTTTCTTTTGACACTTTTTATAACTCTATAGCAGGAATACATGACAATAATTCAATTCACTAAATAAATTAACGTTTTTAATATTTATTAATATAAAAGATAATTATGAGCTGTGATAGAATTTGGTATTTTACAATAAACGTTATTATGATGTAATATAATTAATGTAAATAATTTATAAAGATGATTTTTGTTTATAAGCAATCTTGATATCATATGACATTGAAAGCGAAACAAATTCACTCAACAAAATATTTATTAATTGTTTATAAATATTTGTTAAACTATTAATAAATACTTATTAACTATTAATAAATGTATTTTCCTCCCAAATAAATATTTATTGAATGTTAAAAAATATTTATTAAAATTTAATAAATTAAACAATTGTCTTCAAATAAATCAAATTATTAATAGTTAATAAATCCTTCTATCAGTGCGCTTGTTATCTTGTTGTGCCCCTTTATCATAGTTTTTGTGTATATTTATACGAAAATAGACCATCACAATTGTTGGGAATAATATTATTATAATTATTTTTAACTTCCCGCTAAGAAAATCGAAGATTTTCAAAAATCGGGAAGTTATTTTTATTTTTGATATGAATGTTCAAATACAATACAAAAATTTAAATATGAAGTTAATGTCGAAAAATTCAAAAATTCGATAAAAAAATTAATAACATACTTATATTTTAATTAAAATTCTACATTATCAACCATTAATATGTTTCCGTAGAAAATCAATAGTAATAATCAATAAGATTTTGTCGTGGAGAGATTTTGCCCGGGGAGATAAAGTCGGATCACCGTTTGTAACAATTAATCATGTATTATTGAATTTTTGAAGATAACGTTTGTTTTTTGTAGATTAACTTTGTAATTATTTCAGAAAAAATATCCGAATCCAAAAGAAGAATTGCCGATTAGAAGTAAAACAAAATTAAACTCTAAAATTTCCCGTATCGATTACTCTAAAAGCCCCATCAAGGTAACAACAATTAACGGCGAAAATTTTTTCGCGGATCATATCATAGTTACGCCATCCATAGCAGTTTTACAGAAAAACCACGAGACATTATTCACTCCGGCGTTAACTGGCAAAAAGCTCAATGCGATAATGGTAATTATTGATTAATAAAATGAATAATGTACTCAAGTTTAAATAATTATAAAATTGTCTCAGAATCTTGCTTTGGGCCGCATAGCGAAGATACTTGTCTATTATGAGAACCCATGGTGGATAGGGGAGCCATTTTGGTTTAGACATTTGTACTGGACATCAGAAGACAAAAAAGAAATTGAAAATGATGTAAGAATTACTTTTTAGTTTCTATTTCTGTCTTTTAAATGATTTATCAATCATTTTTAGCCACAAAGAAGATGGATGTTAGGACTTACCTCATCAATGCGCATAGAACACAGACCAAAGATGATGGTTTTCTGGGTTACTGGATGTTATGTCCATGAAATGGAGTCTATTGATGAAAAACTGTTTCAAGAACAAGTTAAACAAGTGATCAATAAATTTTTTGGAAAGACTCACAAACTTTCGGAGCCGAAAATCATCAAAAGGTTACTTGAGTGATTTATTTATTTATTTATTGGTTTATTAAATGTAATTTAATTTTTTGGCTTTCAGGAGTCTTTGGAATACCAATGAAAACTTTCTGGGAACTCAAAGCTTTCGACCTGTAAAAGCTGACCTTGTTGATGCTCATATTGAAGACTATGCTGCACCCATTGAAGTAAATAATAAACCTGTAAGTTAATTTTTTAGTGTTTCAATTTAGTCTTTAAAAAATATATAGGGTAAATACCCCAATAGATGGACGGTTAAGCAAAATCTCGCGTTCTATTAAAAAAACAATATAGTAATATACAGATAAGTTGTGATAAAGTAAATTATATTTATGTAAAAATATATAATTAACCAGGAAAAAATAAGTGAAACTTCGTAAAACGTTGTAGTAATTAATAAAAAAAAAAAAATGTAAGAAAAAGTCCAAAACCCCAGTAGATGGACAAAATCTCCAGTAGATGGTCAGTCTTAAATTTATTAATTTTTTCCACTAAAAAATTAAGCTTGATAAAATTAATGAGAAAAGGTGATAAATCGGATAGTAATTTTCAAAATACATCATAAAGTAATTTTATTATTTTTGAACACGTGATGCTTTCTCATGCAAAGTAATATATAAAATATATTAATATAAAGAATACTAATAATTAATAAATAATCAATATAAATTTATAAAACACAACGTTAAAAACATTATATGTTTTCTTCTTCTTTTTTATAGGTCTGTTCACTTTTGCTTTTAAATTTCCTTCTCTCCATTTTCTCTTTTATTTAGCGTTTCCTTTTTTCTCTTCAATTTCTTCAATAATCATAATAATACTTTCATTTTCAGTACATGTCTGTTTATTATAATCTTTACTCTTGTTCTCACATTGATCCACCAAAAAAATTACAAAAAAAATAAGAAAATTCATCATATAAACTCAATGTCCATCTATTGGATAGAGGTCAGAAAAATGTCACCAATAGATGGACACTAAATTCTATTATTTTTTCTCGGTTTTATCATTAAAATATTATATTTCTAGCTGTGTTAGTGAAATATAAGCGTAATCAAATGTACAAATCTTACTTTTTTTATTATTTTTAATAATAATAACAAATAACGTCCACCAGCTATCTGTTACGTGCTTACTAGTAGTCAGCAAAACCTCGAGATGTCCAATTTAAATAATTTTTTTAAACTATTATTTTAAATAAAAAGTTAAAAAAAATTACTTTGCGCTCTCAGAACTACTTGTAGACATAAAAAAAAAAAATAACGACAAATAAGATTTTTGTTCTTAAAACTAATGTAATTGCTTCTAGAAATAATATTTGTCCATCTATTGGGGTATTTACCCTAACTCTCAATTATATTAACTGTTTAATTTATTTTCTAGACTATATTATTTGCTGGCGAAGCGACATCTCTTCATTACTCAACAGTTCATGGCGCTATTGAGTCAGGCTGGCGTGAAGCTGATCGTTTAATAAATTATTACAAGTAGAATTCTTCTAAATAATTTTATAAATAATATCAGTAAATAAAATTAAAATTTATATTTATTAGAAAAATTATAAATCAAACATACATAACAATAAACTATATATATATATATATTTATATATATTGATTACTTTCAATAATAAAATGGCAATACACTTAATACACTCACATAATTTAACTATTGTCATGTAACCACTTAGAACAGTTCCATACAAAAATATCCAAGTAATAAAAAATTTATTTACCTACTGTACGTATATTTAAATCCCAAAACATACGCGTAACTTCAAAACAATATACACATAAAATTTTTAAAAATTAACTACACTAAACAGTAGCATCTAAACAGTCTTCAATAATTATCTCAACTCCTTCACATGCCTAGAGCCGCTGCAAATATTGTGGAAAGACTGACTGCGTCCATCCCTTTCGCTCACAACCGGGACCCTTTGAGGAGCGTAGTATAGATGAGGAACAGTCCTGATGTCTTTTCTGTTGTCCAGTGAGTGTCTGAGCTCGCACCCAGGGTAATCTGGTCTTGGTGCGGTGGCGTGGAACTGAGAGCCGTACAACATTCCCAATGATCTCTTCCATCCCATGGTATTGGTATCTTCAATGACAACTCTGCTGGGAGCTTTATCTTTATCTTTTCTGGAAGATCCGCTTTCGGTCGAGGTGCTGTCTTCGCTGGTTCCCAGACCTGGATCCCGTTCTTCGACCTGTATCCGATCAGGAGTCTTGGTCTGATGATACATGAGACTCGGGTGAGGAATCACAAAAGGAGGAGGAATTTTTCCAACTTCTTCCTTTTTCTTCTCGGGTACTCGTGGTGAACACGACCCGGGTCCAAAAATAGACAGCAAAACCGGCAACAGGAATATTCCATGCAGAGCTCCGAAGAATATCACCAGGAAGACCATCTTGAAGAACACCAGGAAGATGTAAGTTCCCGCGAGAAGCAAAGCTACCAGCCCGAGGATCGTCGACAGCGCACCCTGGACTATCGGGAGTCCTAGACTGTACAGACAATCTCTTACCCGGTCATCCGGGTGCGTTTTCTTGGAGCTCATGTACGCGTAGCAGATATGAGCCGTGAAATCCACACTGAATCCTATACACATGATCAAGTTAACCATGGAGATGCTGTCCAGGTGGACATCCCACAGCGCCATATAACCGGCAACTCCCAGCTCTATGGAGACGATGCAAAAAGCGATCCACAAGCAGCACAGCACATTGGGGATGAAGATAAAGGAGATCAGCATCATGATCAACGCGCCATAAATCATACACTGGACACTAGTCGGCCTCACCAGCTCAAACTGGTCGAAAAAGACGAAATACGGGTGGAAGACACTCGCGTTTAACGGAGAATCCGCACATATCTTCCTCAGAGTCTTCAACATGTCTTTTTCTTGATTAGTTCCGCTTACATTAACAGCCTGGATCAGGAACCTGCTGGCCAGAATTCGCTCCCCAGTTTCGTCGAATCTCACGTCCAAGGCGTCAGTGCTCCCCGGAGTGAGCCAGTTCTTTTTCAAAGATTTTATGAAGCTCTCCTCACTGTCCAGAGTCGTGTTCAAGTAGTCTTTGTTGTCTTCAACGTAGGCTAGGAAACTTCTTAGCCAGCTTTCAGAGTAAAGAGGGTTGCTTATGTACGGCGTTCCTTCTAAAGCACTCATCAGGTTTTCCATTTGTGCTTGGACCACTGGGTCACTGTAGTTGTAGTTTCCAGAAACTATAACCTAAACATGCAAATTTCTATTGATTATAATTACTAATATCAGGAGAAAGTTTGTGCAAATATTCAAAGTATGGTGACGAAATATTTAAACCGGCTGTTAATATTGACAAAGAGAGAAACTAGGTATTTATGGGAATCACTCACCTGAATGCGGTAGGGAAATTCGCGGAAGTACAAGTCCTCACGGTCGTAGAAGACTATGGAGTACGAGTCTTCTTTGGAGAGTTTGCGTCTCTCTAAACCTTCTTTGAGAGTAGTCAGTCCGTAAAGGGCTCCGATGAGATAGGCTCCGAACAAGAGTATCACTAGTGCCTTTACTGCAGGACAATTCAAGAAAGATGCTAAATAATCTCGGAACCAGGTCATGCATCCATGCTCAGGATTATCTATTGGATTATTCGGGTCTGCTGGATCCACTCCTCCGGTACAAAACACTCGGTAAAACCAGGATCTATGGGCTAAAAATATATTTATGATTTAATTATAGGGTAAATGCACCAGTTGTTGACCGGTCACCAATTAGTTGACCGATGTATAAAAAAGTTAGTTAATTAATATTTTACAAGGGTTTTTTTTTTTCTTAAAGTATTGAATTAAAAAAATATGACATTTAATCATCATAATAAAAAATTACGCAATTAATTGCGCAGCGATTATAGATTTAAAAAAATATTCTGAGTTTGTTTACAACGCAACCAGCCATAAAGCGGTCAAAAATAACTACCGTACAATTGGAGAGTGAGTGCATTTCATAATTAATTTAGTGATATTTATCGGCACAATATCAAATATTTTAGTTTTATTATGTTAATTAAAGATCCGAACAAAAACAGTTTCACTGTAAAAAAATTGCGCCAAGTCCACGTTCATAAGCTATTAACTATAGTTATTACAAACTCTACCTACTCTCGTTTCAAGCAAGTCTCGTTGGTAAACAGGTAATGAATTAGTCTCCCAAGCGTCAGGTCCCAGATTCGGTTCCCGTGCGCGCCGATTTTTTTTTTTTTTATGAAAATAATTCTATATAATTGTATATAATTATATATGGCCATTTTTCGTATATAATTATGTATGAGTATATATAATTATATATAATCATTTTTACCTGGGCAATTTTAAAATTTGACCAGATCTGGTCAGATCTGATTATATCTGGCCAGATCTCGTCAGATAGAGACAATTTAATGATCTGGCCAGATCTGTTTATATATAGCCAGATCTAATCCGTTTTTCCCGGGAAGGAGAAGAATAAAAAAATTTCAAGTTAATCAGAAGAATTATCGTCATTAAAATGAATTTGTGATTATTTGTGATCTAAAGAAATGTGACTATATGTTAATTATTGCTATTTTTATATTATTTTATAAAAAAGTACGGTTTAAAATTATATTGTATGTTTAGTTTTGTTAAAGATGTCATTAATACTTCGAAAGTACTGCATAATTTTAATTACATACATGTAGTTTACAAAATTACTTATAATTATTTCAGCGGTCAATTAATTGGAGAACGGTCGGTCATTTATTGGGTTTCTTCGGTCAATAATTGGTGATTTTAGTATTTCAAGATTCAAATAACAAAATTAATATAATTTTATTAACTTTTATTATAAATAGTTATTAATTATTATTAATTAAGTATTTAACTTTAATAAAATCCATTAAAAATTGTTTTTAGTATGTTAATAGATTTTTGATAGCTTAGTAGAGAAAAAGAAAACCTTAATCGGTCAATAATTGGTGCATTTACCCTATTTCTTCTTTAAAATGATTTTTAAAAATCTCATCTTGTTATTTTTTTTCTTTTCATAAAATTACCCAGAAGTTAATAATAATTTCACTTGGAAGTAAGTATTAAAATTTCATAACTAATTATTTATTCCAAGTCAGAACGCAGAAAGAAAGTAGTTGAAATTGAGAGCAAGCATACAAAAAAATTTCAAAGCTACCCGACCCATGTTATTAAAAATAAAAAGTATTGTATTATATCATGGGACATTACGGAACTATTATAAAACCTCCTTACATATTTGTTCCAGTGGTTAAGTATAAGAACAAATATACCGAAGAAATAAAACTCTAGTTACTAAATTGGCCATTTAGTTACAGTTATAGTTACAGTTACGTTCGGCAATCAACAATCAACAACGAAATATCAAAATTTCTTAACAAATTAAAACCAGCCCATAATGTTGTCATTTGTCATAAGTCATATATTGGTCTTGTATAACTTTCAAAGACGTAAGTTGGAAGACCAATAAGGTCAGCGCAATAACCTGGAGAAAGTAATCCGACGAGGCATTTTTTTTATATTTATTCTTCTTACGCAATTACGAATGTGATCTAACGAATTAGTGACACCAGTCGATAGGAAATTGTTGCAACTGTTTTATTTATTTATTTGCTGCTTACTCTCTGGTATTTATTATTTTTAGTTAATTGCTAGTGTCTCTATCAAGAGACTTATATTAATGCCTTGATATAAATTGAATTAATAACAAAATTTAGTTGTTCTTGATTTTAATTTCCGCGAATCTATCTTGGTTGATAGACACTAGAAAGTATCATTTATTCTAGATGACACTTATTTTAATAATATGTGAGTATCTATTGTGCAATATATTTTAACCAAATATTATTATTATTTATAGACTCTTTGATCAGAATTTATTATGAAATTATGACACTGAAGTTAGCAGACGTCTAAAAATTTTTGATTTTTGTTTTTAATTAAATTACAACTAAAAAGATATTTATAAAAAATTGTATTTATAGTTTTTCAAGTTTTCTACAGGTGAAATTTTTTCAATAAAAAATTTCTAAAAATTTTGAAATGTCGGCAAACTTTATTTTAATATGAAATTTTGTTTTAATTTGACAATTCAGTCCCAATTTAAACGACTAATTTCTTTATCCGGTAACTTAAATGCTAAAACACCCGACATGTTATGAAGATCAACGTTCAACTCCTGGCTTGGTCTTGATTCTTTAAAATGTTTATCAATATGATCTCTGCTTCAAATAAATAAAAATTATCTTTAAAATTAAAGTGTTATCATAACTTTCTTTCTGAGTATTGAAGTATTATATAATATGATAGTTCTGTAAAATATTATAACTTTCTTTCTCAGTATAGACATATAATATAGAATAAAAAGATTAATTGTTTGAATATGGATTAAAAAAAATTCATTATAATAATCATTATTATTTTTTATTAGCTGGCTTACTTGACTTAGAAAGAGGCATCACTTGACAACAAACAACACTGTGTCTGTTTTTTTGCTCGCAATATCCACTTATGGCGACACATCCACTAAAGAAAGTCAAGTGGAACAAAAATGTAAAAACTACGGCGAATCCTGTAAGTATAAATTGATTATTAATAAGTTAATAAATAAAATTTGTAAAATGAAAACTAAAAATTTACCAGAATAAATGCAGAAAATTCTGACAGAAGGAAACGGCGAAACAATTCCAATGAAGAAAGAAATCATGTCAGTAACTGAAGTAATAGTTATCGAAACAGCAGCTTCGCTTAAAGTCGCAGCCATCCTCTGGGGAACTGGGTCCATAATATTGGTCCTCCTCCAAGCAGCCAGCATCACAAAAGTGTCATCTATTCCGATTCCTGCACGGAGAAAATTTTATAGTAGAGTTTATTATCTAGTTATGTTAAAATCTATTAACTGAATTCGATAGTAGTAAATATTATTTAAATAATTAAGTAAACCATCTGAATTGTAGTATTTACCATCCTGATGGTAACTACTACTATTATGATGGTAATCAGTAACAATAACTGTTATTATTTTAATTAGTTACTACTATCATCAAAATCGTAATTCCTAATAATATAACCTGATGGTTGTAGTTACCATTAGTAATAATAATAACTATTATCTAAGCTAGTAAAAAATATTAAAAAAATTAAGAATCTGCGTTACTATGGATGCTTTTCTGAATATACTATAAGCAGTTGTAGTGCACAAAAAATCGGGATTAAATTCGGATTGAAATTATATTTAAATTTTGATTTGTCTAAAACAAGTTTCAACGCCAAATTTTTCAAAAAAAGTTTGAAATTTCCAATAAAATCAAAATTTTCAATAAAATTCAAATTAAAAAAAAAAATTTTTAATTCTTAAAAAAAATCAAATTTAAAAAAAAAATTTTGAAGGGAATTTAAAATATTCTAAAATTTCAAAGAAAAAAATGTGCATTAGCTAAAATATGGTTGTAAATAAAGGATTTAATTAAGTAAATTTATATTATTTTTTCTTTCAAATTTTTTACAATCCGAGATGGTTACAGTTACCATCTTCGATTGTAACAATTATAATTTATTATAATTACAATTATTATTTTCGATAGTAATTGTTGATATTATTAATAGTAACTATTACAATTGTCAATGATACAACCTATTATTTTGTTACTAATTAATTTTATTACCATTTTAGATAGTAGGAGTTACTATTTTTGTATAGTAGGTAATATAATTAATTTTTCTTCGTGTGTTAATAAAAATAATGTAAGTATTAAAATTTAAGTTTTTGTGACAAATCACCCTCGTCAAATATATTCAAATAAAAGTAATGTAATAATGAATATTAAGACTTCCTTATTAGAAAAGCGGAAATCCCTATTTTTGTATTTTATTTTATTTCTCATAATAAATGTATCTATTATATATGTTAGCTGCGGAACGTTGCGGGTCATTGACATTGATTGCCAACAAACAAGTTACGGTAAGTCAAGTGTGATGAAAATTGCAGTATTTCATACGTTAATATCATACCCCACTTATTCATTTAGAAATAAAAAATTAATCAATCAATCTATCTGTTAAATTACCCGGTAGAAAAACGTTACAATTATCCAATTGCAAATAAAATTTTTAATAAAAAAAAAAAAAAATAACAGAATTAATTAAATTCATCCTTGAAAAAAATTAATTATTTAATTTTAGTCATACATAACACACAATATTGTTATTCTAAACCCATCAACAAAAACGTCACGTAAAATTATCATAAAATATTCTAGTTGATTAAAATTATCGCGCAATTAAAATAACTTTATTTAAATTATTTTACCGATCATCAGGAACGGAGCTGCGAGGTTGATGCCAATAAAATCAACTCCGAGGTACATGCAGAATCCAAAAGCTGAAACGGTGGCCATTCCTGCGGAGATGTTCCCCAGGAGGCCGAGCCAGGGTTTGCTTCTTACCCAGTCGGTCATCATGCAGGTGACCACCGAGAAAATTCCCATCAGTGCAAAGCTGCTGGAGAAATACGGCACCACGGTTTTGGTGTTTGCTTCGAGTTCGAGTTCGAGGGTTCGTGAGGCGAAACGCGCTGTACTTATCTTCTTAAAGAGTCCAGAATCTTCAGCTTCGCCCACGGTGTTTAGGAATGCTTCTTCCCACGCTGCGCCTCTGGAATAATTGGTAATTGATAAGCAATACGTTGCAATGTTTAAAATTTATTTAATTTCTTGATATATTTAAGTTAGTTACATAGCGTCCTGCCGTTGGTTGTCAACAGCGAGAAAATATCCAATTTGTACCGCTGGTACACTTTCGATAGTCAGACTTTCCGTAATTACACTGCCTCCGAAGTATACCGGGAAGATATGGACGTCGAATGTCACCGGATTTATCATTACTGGAAATGTTAAATTTATTTGATGCGATTCGACTTGGCTGTGATAAAAAAAAAAATTATTAGTTATTTAATAAACAAATTTTTATGACACCTTGAATGTTAAATTCAATTTCATTTTGAAGCTAATAATTTAATAATTGCTTTTAAATTCTATTTATTCACTAAAAAAAATTATTTGATTATAGAAAAATATTCTTGACTAAAGAAAAAAATTATTTAAAGAGAACCGACAGTCTTGATTCAAGAATTTGCTTGAAACTTGTGTTTTCAGTGAAGAAAAGCTCTACACTCAAATATTGTCAAAAACTAATCATAATTTTATTTTTCTTTAATAATTTTATATTCGTGATTCAGCAAAGTTTCTTCATTCAAAATAACAAGAAAAAAATTTTTAACTTCCCGCTAAAAATCGAAGATTTTCAAAAATCGGGAAGTTATTGTTTTCACCCCGTTTTACAAAAATCGAGTTTTCATCAGATCTCGACGTTTGAAGGTCACAGGAAGCTTCCCTGACTATCCCCGCGAGGTTGTCACTATGTCTCTGTGTGTGTGTGTGTGTGTGTGAAAGAAAAAAATCATTTTTGAAAGTGGTTTTTTTGGAATATCTTTTAAACAACTGTATCGATCAACTTCAAAAACTAATCCACCCTTAAGCTTGATAAACCACGCCGATCGCCGCTAATCCGGTCAAAATCGGTTGATTCGTTCGAGAGATATCGTGAACGAAAGAAAACCGAAAAAAGTGTTTTTTTGACATAACTTCGTCATTTCTTCTCGGATCGTTTTTGATGATATAGAATAATTTCAAAGCTTAAAAAACCGCGTCGATCGCCGCCAAAAACGTGGAAATCGGTTGATTAGTTCGAGAGATATCCTCGATAAAATATTTGAAAACAATTGTTTTTTTTAACATAACTCCGAAATTTTTTGGAATAACTTTGAAACGGCTGCACTGATTAATTTCAAAAACTAATCAACTATTAGCATGAAAAAATTACGTCGATTGCCGTCAAGCCGGTCAAAATTGGTCAATTCGTTCAAGAAATATCATGAACGAAAGAAAACCAAAAAAAGTGTTTTTTTGAAATTACTCCAAATTTCCTAGTTTTATCAATTCAAACTTGAAGATTTTTCATGAAACTAAAAAAAAATGCGTCAAATACTGCCAACCGCGTGAAAATCGAGTGATTCATTTTAAAGTTAGTGCGATTTGAAAATTAAAAAAATATTGTTCTATGATACTACCATCAGACTTTTGAGCTCGAAGAGCTCAAAATAACATATAAATTGTATTTTTGAGCTCGAAGAGCTCAAAAACGTATGACCAAGATTTTACTTTTTGGTATTTGAGTATCTAGGTCTATTTTTATTAATTATTTAAGTATTAAGTTAATAATATTATATTATTGTTATCGAAGGTTGATTAAATTAGAAAATTCGAAGAGTGTGAGAAATTATTTTAAAGCCGACCAAGTTTAGTAAGCAAAAGAAATTAATTGTAAAAGAAATTAAAAGACCGGGGAAATTATTCTAAGTCCCGAATAAGATTTAGTATGGGAAAGTGACAAATGGATAGAAAATGAAAGAAATGACGATTATTATTTTAAAGAATTGTGTTTGGGAAATAAAAACTTAGAAAGTTTTTGACAATTGATGAGCTTGCGCGAGCCTCGATAGATGGCGAAGATGTTTCGTTTGTAGTGATAATTCAAAAATATTTTAAGTTCCGTTTTGAGAATAATTTTGACAAGCAATTCTTTCTCTGGAGAATTACTCGGGCGAATACTCTTCACCAAGTAATTCTAGAGGATGATACTCTACCTGAAGTCTTACTAAGACCCAGGTAAGTATCAGGGACCGACCGGATGAAAGTGCGACTCCCCGTGCCAAGGCCTTCAGCTGAGGTACGGTAGGTGATCATAAGTCGTGTGAGTGGGAGTAAGGAGGATACTCTCCACTTGCTCTCAGGGTAGAGTTTAGGACCCCACAGGGATGACGTCTAATCGCCCTGGGGGGGGGGGTGTGTTATTGGGGACTAGTTAGTGTTTTGTAGACCGCGTTTTTGAGTTTGATCCGCGAATACTGTCGTGTATGTTTGATTTTGTATTAGTTTATATTGCTTACATTGTTTATATTGTTTATTGATTTTGAACCGCGTTAATGATTTTGAACCGCGAATATGTGTGAAAAGAGTGTTCTAATGTATTGTTTATACTGTTAATTTGTTTATATTGTTTATTAACATGATCAAGTCAATAAAGAGGTTTTTCTTTATTTTGATTTATTTAAAATGAAGTGTTTTCTTGATATTTTGTTATATTTTGTAATCCCCGTTTATGACCCTGGACTTCGGCGAGCTTCATTTGTTTTAGTATTTAAAAACACTCAAAAATTACCCGTTACAAACGTAATTAGTGCAGTTTTATGCACCTAGGTATGGAATTAGCGGGAAGTTGCACGGATGGCTTTCAAGGTCTACCGTTTTTCTAATTTTTTTTATTTGAACCTATTCTAAACCGTATTTGAGACTTATTCTTAATAATATAAAATTGTGAGATATCTATTAGAGATACGAAAAAATTAAAGATCTTTTTTGTATAGAATTTAATTTCCTACTAAAAAAGTCTTTTATCATTTTTGTATCTTCAATATTTATGTATACAATGGGTGACGAAAAATTTATTTTTAAAGAATTAAAATTAAGATTGTGAGCGAACTATTAGAAATATAAGAAAATATATAACGATCTTTGTTAAAAAAAAAATTAAATTTCCTAAAAAAAATATTTCTTATAAATATTTATTTAAAAAATAATTAGATAAATTTTTCATATCTTTTATATTTTAGTCAGAATTTTAATTTCAAATTTTTATCTCAAAATTTTTGACTAAAGAACTTTTTCTATTTATCTTCTTTGTTTTATTTTTCTGATTTACGAGTGAATTTCTTGAATTAATTTGAACTTGATATCTCTAATCAAAATTTAAATTTTGAACACAATATTTTTTTTAAATTAAATATTTTGTTTTTCCGGGTTCAAATAATTTATAGAAATGTTTTGAGTGCTTCAGGAAGAAAACATTCAAATATAAAAACACTTAAATAATTTCGTAACTTAAAACTTAATTATTCTTCCTGTTAAAAAAAAATCTACGGCATAAAAAAAATAAAAACAATTCTAGGTGTCAATAAAAAAAAAAAAAGAAAAAAATACTTACTCGATAATTTTAGATAAATTAAGAATATCATTATTAAAACAATCATCTTGCCATCTAGCACAAAGCTGCTCGTAAGTATAACTCTCGCCTTCGTAATAAGCAGTAACATTTTTAATCATACCATCAAGAAGTATTAATTCTTCCCAAACATCTTTCCTCAGTAGGTTGTTTCCGTCTTTGGGAATTACTATCACGTGGCCAAACCTGCCTAAAAACAAACCAATTATCATCATCATCCCATCAATACATTATAATTATATTATAATGCAGATAATTAAGTGCAGATAATTAATGCAGATGATTAAGTGCCTAATGACTAATTGTAAGACCTTGAAGATTAAGTCAATAAAAACAAAAGTGAATTAAATTAATATATATATATATATATATACCTGGCCGGGTGATTCTACTGACACTAAACCGGTGGCTGTAGTTAACTTTAAAATGTTCTTCGACGATACTTCTCTCATATTTGCCAGGGCCGTTGATCGGCGAAAATAAGTATTCGGGATCGATTTCATAATGGATTCTCTGGTACCCAGTGAGACAAATGCATCCGAGGAGAATCGGTATGACTACAAAGTACCCGGGTCTTTCGCCAACGCAAAGTCCGATTTTGTAGAACGCTTGATTGAGAAAGTCGTCGACGATCGTTAGTCTGCAACGCATCTGTAAATTTAAATATTTTAGTATTTGTCATATTATTCATATTAGTATTTTGAAACCCGGAACATCTTTCATATATCTGTAATTTAAATAAAGGAAAAACGGAACCGGTTGGAGAAAGTTATATAACTAATTCTACAAACTCAGTTTATATTCAACGGAACAGGTAAAAAAATATTCGTTTTAATGAAAAAGAAAGGTCAGGTTTCAAATATATTGTATCTTGGGCATGAAGTAATATTAATAAAAGAGATATTTTATCTGTTTTCATTCACGACTAATCTTATTGTTTTTTTTTTTTTAGATTTTGCAGCCAACATATAATCTATAGTCTACAATGGGACCTTTCAACTAAGTTTAAGTCTGAGTTTGAGCAGGTGGACCATAACTATGTGATAAATGGCTATGTCAGTTTTGATCTTAATCTAAATTGTTATGAAACGAAATAGCAGATCTTTACAAAATAAATTAGGTATTGAAAAAAGCAAAAAAATGTAGCATGGAAAAGAAGACATTTTTTTAACTAATAAATTGTTATAAAGAAAATTTCACAAAAAAAAAAAAGGTAATTATTTACAAGTGGGGTCAACCCCATTTTGGGCCATAACTAGGTGAAAAAATTTGTAAAAATTTTTTTTTTATTCTGCTTGTTTTTATGGCGGATTTATGATAAAAAATGTCGTGAAAGAAAAAATTAAGATTTCGATAGCCTTTTTGCCTTCAAAAGTTGAAAAAAATTTTGGCTCTCATGCCTATGTAAAAAAAAATCGTCTTAAAATTGTCGTTCGTTTAAGATCTTAAACGTGACACAAACTAAGACTCTTTTAAGATGCCAAAAAAAAAATTTCGAGATTTTTTAATAATTATTTTGATTTTTTTAAGACTATTTTGAGATTTTTTCAAGACGATTTTAAGATTTTTTTAAGACCGTTTTAAGATTTAAGTTTTAAAATAATTTTTAAATAGTCTTGAAAAATCTTAAAATAGTCTTAAAGAAATCTGAAAAAAAAAATATTAAAAAATTTTTAAGCTATTTTCAGATAACATCACAGTGATAGCTCCGGAAAATTATTATGGAGCGTCTTTAGATTGTCTTGAAATTATCTTAAATTAGTCTTAAAAAAATCTTAAAAAAAAATTTAGACTATTTTAAGATGGGCTAACAGCGACAGATCCCCGGAACATCAAAACGAAACGTCTTAAAAAAGTCTTAAAATTGTCAGATAATAATTTTTTAACAATTTTAAATTCAATTTAAAAACATCTTACTCAAAAATATTGTGGTTAGAAAGTCGTAAAATCGTCTAAAAATTAAATTTTCACAACAAATTCGAGAACAAAATTTTCAAAAATCTGCTCTCGGAATTTTTCTTTTGGCGTCTTAAAAGAATCTTAAAATAGTCTTAGTTTGTGTCACGTTTAAAATCTTAAACGAACGACAATTTTAAGACAATATTAAGACGATTTTTTTTTACACACATACGTATGTCATAATAAAATTTTTTTATAGACAACAGTAAGATCATGTAAAAATAAAGTTATCACCGAGACTAATTTCCATGCAAATGAACACCTCTTCCAAAAAAAACCGAGGTTAAAACAACTCTAGTAATTATATTCAAAAAACTGCAACACGGGTGTTTTTGGATAAAATTTCTATTTTATCTTTTTTTGAAAATTACATAAAAAAAATGAATAATTTGAAAAAAAAGTTGAATATTACAATTTTCTAAAAAATTTATAAATTTTTTTGCAACTTTATTAAAGTTGTGATAATTAACTTTTTTTTTTGTTCATTTTTTATGTATTTTTCAAAAAAAAAAAAATGTATCAAAATCAAATAGAAATTTCGTTCAAAAAATTGAAAATTAAAATGGTTCCACTTGTAAATATTTACCAAAAAAAAAACTACGAATGAAATTTTACAATAATTTAACACTAATTGATTTTTTAGACAAAAATAAAAGATTGTCACATGTCTGATGATTTTCAAGATTAAAAGTTCAATAAAAGAACTACTCAACTAATAAAAAAATTTCTAAATTATTTTGTAAAGATAAAATCTCAGTTTGACGTAAAATAAAAAGGACATTTATATGTGTAAGAGTGAAAGTTTATTTATTTATAAATAAACAATAAAAATAATGACGTGTTAACATCTGGACAGTGATTAATAACTGTTTATCGTTGGTGACAAAAGTCAATGGATATTTTAAAAACATCAGATAATATTACTCTGTAAATATAATAAAAGATAATGAGCACATGCTAATGTATAGAAGTATATAGAGATGAATATACGAATTAATATATATATATATATAATGCTCATGTGCACTTATTGGCACGCATGACAATTTTATGGTGAATGTAAAAAAAAAGTCTCTGGACTCTATTAACTATTACGGTTCAACTGTCTATGAAGTATTACATATTACATATGCACTTTTTTTATAACACTTTTATATTTACATTTATATAAAGATAAGTTGTAAGTAATGAGAAGTTTTGCTGCATGATAGAGAAATCTGGGCAGCCTTGTCATGATTTAGCAAGCACCCGAAGCTTGTACTCTTTTCCTCTGACCGATACGCTACAAAAAACTACAACGAATCGTTAAATTTCACAATCTTATGCAAATATTAGGTTAAAAAAATGTATATTAATTAATTCATTGACACAAAATTCATGTATTTGTCTTTTGAACTAGTTAAGCCGCTATTGATCGGTAGGTTTTTATTAAAATTAAAATTTTAGATATCTTAAGATCCCGCGTATGAAGATAAAGATAATAATTGACTTTTTGTGTGAATTTACGGAAGTCTTTACTTTTTGAAAGTAAAAGTTGTTGGTTTATTGTGTAAGCATTTATGATTTTAAGATTGAGTGTACTAAAAAATTATGTTTCATTTATTTCTTAGGTCTTTCCCGAAGAAAGTCCGTGGTTGAAAGAAACATTTTTGTTTATGATTTTTAATAATTATTAATTATTTATTGAGTGATTTGGAATTTTTATAAAAATTTTTCAATAACAGTTATTTGACTTTTTTTAAGATTATTGTAAAGAAAATTATAAAAAAATTTATATGAAATAATGATAAGCGCGATTCTTGAAAAATATTTTTTTAGTACTAATTTATTAAAAAAAAAACTAAATCAGAAGATTACTTAATTTTGTTTAATAATTTCTTTTTTTTTGTTTAAGTTAATCGAAGATAAAATTAAAGTATTATTAATTTTTCGATAAAAAAACTTTAAAAATAATTAATAACTTTACTTATGAAAAATTTTCTTCTCTAAAAATTATTTGTCTGTATACGTAGAATACGGAAGAAAAATACTAGACCTCTATAGACCCGTTTTATTAATATTATATTATTTCTAGGTATGAAATTAAATGTACACACGGTGAATCTGATTATTCTGATGATGAATCTGGAGAGTCACACGTTGATGATTTTCAGTATATATTAATTTTTGATAACATTAAAAGCTTTGAAGCTAATTAAAAATTGTATACCCATAAATTTTCATTGTTGTTATTGTGAATTCGACATTGGTATGAAATGAATAGAACAATTTGGAAAAAAAGGTTTCAATAAAATAGTAATTTTTTTTATTTTTTATCCAAAAAAATTATAGTTGCCGTGAAACTAAACAATTATCAAAAATCAAATAATTTGTTATAAATTTTTTTTTTAATTTCTAAAAGTGGAATTTTCTAAAAAATAAAAAAATGATTAAATTAAATTTTTAACGGATTATAAACTAAGTAAATTTCAATATTTTATTATACAATAAAAATCCTTTAAAACCTCGCTGTGAAAATTGCATAATTTTACAGGCAATTAATAAATAAACCAATAAAATAATCTCGCTCAATTCTTGAGGGGAAGAAAAAACCGTCGAGTCATATCGTATATATGATAGAACACAAGTGATTCGAATCAAAAGCAATCTTCCTGCTCGAGACCGGAAGAAAATAATAACATCAATAATTAATGATATATCTCTTGAAAATATCAGGCTTAGATTAATAAAAATAAGTAAAGTAGAACAAAAGGATTATAAAAAACAATCACGTTAACAAACTTTCAATGGTTTTAAATGACCCTCAGGATAAACACGAAATTGTTCATGATCATGATTTGATGTACATACAACCACACATAAACATATAAAGGATTATTCAAGTGGAGTATGCGTGAGGAATTAAAATTGATGTCGCAACGATAAAAATATATAAGTACATATATGTAATATCGATTGTTAAGCAATGCAATCTTATTCCAACAATTAATTTTCCTTTTCTTCGTTTTAATTAAGTCTTATACTACGAAACTAATTGGGTGGGGGGCATCTCTGCATAGAATTTCTCTACATTTTATAATCCCTCAGCAGAAATTTTTATTTTAAAAAACTCTCAATATAAATCTCTACAGTGAAAACAAATCAATTTAAAAAATCCTTCATTTGAAAATCTCTCAGGAAACAATTGATTACATTGAAACTTCTCTGTATCGTAAAACTTTCAGGCGATGCATCTCTCAAAAACAAAAGCTCGATAATTTGCTAAATTTATGTGTATTCTTTTTTTATTAAAATAATAAAAAAAAATAAAGTTTTTTGGGACCTCAAAATATTTTATAGATGTTATAATTATTAATAACTAAAACTTTATTTTTTTGATTATTTTAATAAAAAAAGAATTTTTTTTTAAGAAAAAAAGTTTTTTTTTAAATATTTTTAATTAATAATGAAGAAATAATTGAGAAGAAATTTACCTTTAAGTCGTAATTAATCAATAAAATTAATTTCGTATTTAAATCACTCAAAACTGTAAACTTGAGCACATTTTTCACTTTTATTTAAAGAAAAAATATTAAAAACTTTTAAATTTTATTTTTCAGAAGAAGAAAATACCGGCAATATCTTCTGCGCAAAGAATAACTGATACGGTCGAATTGAAGAGCGAAACGATACTGCGCCTGGTTTAAACGACCGGCAGCGACTGACCCTACTGAAGCATAATAACTTTCGAATGCGGTGGGTCTAATATAATTTTTATTATTATTATCATTGATATTTTTATATCCATTTGATTGGACCTATAAACGAAAATTTTTTTTTGCTGAGACGAAGAAGAAGAAAACAGTTTTTTATTTTTATATTTTATTGATTATAATTGAAAATTTACTATCTATTATTTATAGTCTAGGTAAATAAAAGTATAAGGAGTAAAGGTCGATTAGAAGGACGTGGATCCTTGAAAAAAGTAGTTCGTTGTATTTAAGTCCTTACGCAATTGATGGATTTATATGTGATTTGAAAACAAAGTTTTGATTTTCTTAAATGCTGGAATTTCTGTAATATTTATTTATAGTTTGATCATGAAGGTCTCTAAGAATAGAAGATAATTGATAAAATTATATTTATAAGTAATAAACAACAAATTCAAAGTAGCTTTGAAGTTTCTAATAACAATAAACTTGCGGATAAGCTTAAAATAATTTATACTGTTTTTAATCATAGAATTTATTATTGAGTTTTTCAACTCAAAATATAAAACTAATTAAATATTTTTACTTCCTAATATGAATAATATAAATATATTTATTTTTTGTTTTTATTTTAGGAGAGAATAATTGAAGTCTAAAAAAAAGTGAATCATGAGAGCAAGAAGCGGATGCTGAGATTATTTGTAGCGCTTAATATATCATGAAATAAAGCGTGGTACTCATCCTGTAAATACCATTTAAGTTGATGACTCGGATTATTCATTTATTACGCTCTGCGTTTACTTATTGGTAACTTAGTATTTTAGCCAATAATTATAATGTTTAAAGTGATTATTTATTAGTAAAATTGTCTTGATTGTCATAAAACTGTACTTAGTTTGATATACTATTAAATTCCGCTATTTTTCAAGCTACGTTTCCGTAGTGTAGTGGTTATCACGTGTGCTTCACACGCACAAGGTCCCCGGTTCGATCCCGGGCGGAAACAGATTTTTATCTTTTAATGTAATTTTTTACTTTTTAAAATTATAAAATAATTTTTAAAATACCTAACGAAATTTATTGATGATACTTAAGTGGGTAAAACAATATTAAATCGGAAAATGTGGCATAATCTGTTACTTAACTTTAAATATTTAAATAATAACATGTTAGAATTACTAATTATATAATTAAGATAAACAAATTCTCACGAGTAATTATTAAATAATTTAGCAAAACGCTTAAAATCAATCACAAGAATTTTTTAAATTTGAATACTTTCTCTGAATTAACTCGGTGAAAGTTTTAAGAAAAAAACCCACCGATAATTACACACTTGATCAATAACTATTACCATAATCTACATTTTATTACGGGTATCCCTTGCTGTTTCAAAATATATTCCACAAATTTAATGTAATAGGTAAATACCCCAATAGATGGACAAATATTATTTCCAGAAGTAATTACATTAGTTTTAAGAACAAAAATCTTAAGTCGTTATTTTTTTTTATGTCTACAAGTAGTTCTGAGAGTGCAAAGTAATTTTTTTTAACTTTTTATTTAAAATAATAGTTTAAAAAAATTATTTAAATTGGACTTCTCGAGGTTTTGCTGACTACTAGTAAGCATGTAACAGATAGCTGGTGGACGTTATTTGTTATTATTAATAAAAATTATTATTAAAAGTAAGATTTGTACATATAATTACGTTTATATTTCACTAACAAAGCTAGAAATATAATATTTTAAT